CAAGCAGCTTTGTAACTAATACAAGTCTCTCTGTGTATTCCTTTGGGCCTAACTCGGGTGGGTGGCTGGCATAAAGCACACACGTGGTGGTGGGGCTCAGGCAGCTTTTGGCAGAAATATTTATCGTAACACAGCATAGGACTAATCCAGACCCTATGGGTGTCAGTGCGGAGGCCTTGAGAATCTATGGGGCCTCTGGTAGTGGATCAGTATTTATCCCTACTACTCGAATGGCCTTTGGGAGCCCATTCCACATAGAGGTATATTCTCATAGCCTAGACACACGGGGGATGACCTAGGCCCTGCCCCAAATGATATGACAGACTTTGAAGATCCCCTATAGAAGGCCTCACCCTCCCTGGGGAGCAGAAAGGGGATGGGATGGGGAGCAGGGGAGCAAGTGAGGGAGAGGGAACTGGGATTGACATGTAAAACAAGCTTGTTACTAATTTAAATTAGAAAACACAGGTTAAAAAAACCTTTTAACAAACTTAATAATTATAAGGTCCTTTATATGAAATTGAATGTATGCAAATGAAAAAATAAAGCCTCAGAGAAATTTTGTAATAACCATGTGTATCCAATTCTTAGTTTGAGAACAAATAACAAAATTAAAAACCAAAATATATAATAAGCATGATAATATATAATGTAGACAAGACAAACAAATGCATGTGATGTCACCAGGTTCCTGGGGTACTCACTCCTCAAACTCAAGACTGTCTTTTTTCTTGTCATAGTCTTTGAGAAACATGGGTGGATTAGCATAAGTGCTCAAGGATTTATTTGTTTGGTTTTTTTCTTTTTTCTTCCTTCTTTATTTCTATTTTTTTAATGAAGTCTCTCTATGATGTGTGGTCGGTTGGCTTTGAACTCATAATCCTCCTGCTCCAGTTGGCATTTCATGTGTATGCCACCATGATCAGCTGTGTGTTCATGAATTTCTGTTGTATACTTTAATTAACTATCTAAGGACAAAGATTGCTCATTTGAAATCTGTAAATTCCGTGATGAAAGTAACTATATCTGGTTTCAGCTTATTCTCCAGCACGGATGCCTGGAAGCAGGTGCACTTAATTTATGTTTGTTTCAATAATGAGTGAGAAAAGCTAGTGAACTGTAGAATGATTGTCTAGAGACTTGTGCAGAGCCTGTACCAACAGCAGCTCTTTCTCAGTGAAAACTTACAAAAACAGCTCAAACAACAAAACATCTCAGATACAATAATAATTCAAAAACCTGAAATTCATCCAAAGCACTCTCAACTGGACTTGTGCTGATATCAAATTCAATTCCTCCATGAACATGGAAATATTGATGTTCTTTGTAGTCAAAATTCTGGCATTTAAAATCTCGTCCATAAATAAATGGAGGCAGCTCTCTCTCTGTCTTGACTTTGTCATCTCCAGAAATAAAAAGAAATTTTCATTTAAAATGTGGACAACACATAGATGATTATATTAGATATCTGATTATCATTCATGTAAACAAAGTGAAAAATCTAATGAAATTAGAATTTGGCAATTACTGACTATGGACATATTTATTCTCTTTCTCACCACACACACACACACACACACACACACACACACACACACACACACTTATTTGTGGTACCAGAGAGTATGAATTTAGAGTCTTACATACACAAGTGATCAGTCACTGAGCTATCGTTCCAGCCCTCTTTTACTTTTCATTGAGCCATGTTTCAAAATATATATGTATATATGCAAATGTATGGTTTTTTGAGACAGTTTCTCTGTGTAGCCCTGTCTGTCCTGAAACTCACTATGTTGATCAGGCTGGCCTCAAACTCATAGAGCTTTGACTGCTTCTGTCTCTCGAGTGCTGGGATTAAAGGTATGTACCATCACTGCCTGGCAATAAAATATATTTTTATTCATTTGGAGCATTCTTGTGGTTCTACTGTATAAACATGTCAAAAGCATAAAATATCCTGACATCTATGAGTAAACACTCCTCAATTATTGGATTGAAATTCTGTGATTTTGGTAACTTTTATTTAAACAACAACAACAAAAAACTCCCTTGAACTCAAAAGAGACACTATAAAGAACCAAGTAGGCATTTCCCTTTATAAAGAACTAAGTAGGTATTTCCATCCGTCCCAGTGTTCTATTGCTGAAGAGACACCATGACCACAGCAACTCTTATAGTCAGTGTACTATTGCTCAAGAGATAATATGACCGCAGCAACTCTTACAGTTTTCTATTGCTGTAGAAATATCATGACTATGGCAACTCATAAAAGAAAGTATTTAACTGGGGCTGGCTTACAGTTTCAGAGACTTAGTCCATTAGTGGTGGGAAGTCTTGTGAGACACAGAAACATAGTTCTGGAGAAGAAGCTGAGAGTTATACAACTAGATTCACAGGCAGCAGGAAGAGTGAGACACTAGGTCTAGCTTGAGCCTTTAGAACAGTTCCTCCAACAAGGCCACACCTCCTAAACCCTAGAAGAGCCACTCCCTAAAGACCAAGCATTTAAATCTATGAGCATATGGGGGCCAAACCTATTCAAACCACTACATCATTTGATTAAAAATAACCAGCTCCTATTACTGGAAAGCAATAAAAACAAACATACTACTTATTTGAAAGATAATTTTCTGAAATCCCAGCAAAATGAAGTTTATTTTTGCTTATCCTCTTACCTGAAAAAGGTGGGAGCAGACTATTTAAATATGGAACTTTCATCTTCTTTTTTAAACTGAGTAAAAATGGAATCAGAAAACATATTAACTTCAGATAGCTCATCCCTCTTCTGACTTCTTTTTTTTTCTCAAAGTGTTTTTGAATAACTTTTTTTTGAAGATACAGTCTCTGTTGTAGTCTCTGGTAAGTACAAATATCAAGATAATCCTGGTTGAATTTTATAGCATTAGTAATCCAATAGTCTGTCTCAAATATAAAGATGTTTTCATGCTGCTGAACTCGTGTGGTACTGAATGTCAACTTCAGCATAATATTTTCAGCATATTTCATAAATATAGCCTTTTCTTCAGGACTATTGGGATCATATGTTGGATCTTCATTCATGTCTTCATCATAGATTCCAACAAAGTCTGGATCATTTGTAATATCAATCAAACCTTCACAGTAAAAAATAGAAGAAAGAAAGGAAAAAAAAATAGGTAGTAAGAGACAGAAGACAAGGAAAGGGGCTATGAAATTTTCCGGGCCAGACACAGCCATTTCAATCAACTACAGTTGTGGATGTTGCCACTGGGTCTACACAGGATTGGGCCCCTCAGAAGTCAGCAGAGGTGAGGAGTTTGAGATGACCTACTTTTAACTGCTGTACTCACAGCTAATAATAGATTCATGCAAAAGTGGAGTCATGGCCTTCAATTGTGTACCACTTCTGATTCCACCAGGCTCCAGTTGACAGCTCTATTCCAATCATGTCAGAAATGGTCCTGGCTAAACCAAGTAGATCAGAAAGCAAAACCATAATTCATGAATCTGGAAAAGGGCATGGTAAAGAAGGTGCTATTGACATGATGAGAGGGAGTTTGGGGTCAGATATATCAATGTCAAGGCATCATATACAATATGAAATTGTCAAGGAATATGCGGTCTCCATCCCCAGGCCTATCCCTGGTCACACATCCTATGTACCTGCCAGGTCTAGTGAGCCTCCCAGGCTCTGTTTGCTTACACCATTCCAAATCTGCAAGCTGATCCCTATTTGCACATCCCAGGTGCTGGCCCAGGGCCTCATGGTTCACAATCCTTAGGCCTAGCCTCAACTTAAGTGACTGTGTGCTGGTCTAACCTGGTGAATGCCCAATACCCCAGCCCATCCATGCAATACTCATGCTCCCAAGAATATCTCAGGTAGTGTACCTTACACTCCAGCCCAAGCAGATGTAGCCATTTGTCCCATTTGTACCTTGTTTGGTTACCACTGAACTGGAATCATGCCTATTCCACCAATCTGAAATAACACTACCTGAAGGGTCAACCTACTATTTCCTCATCTCATCTGATTTGAAATCAACCAAACTTGGGTGACAACAGAAACAAAAACCAAACTTCAACTCAACAGAAGTGACTAGAATCTCACATCAGACATGCAACCAACAAAAGAAACCCACATGCCAGTTTACATCGCAAATTATACAAACAGTACAAAAGGTAAACACAGCATGTCTCCTCTAAGACCAATCAACCCTACAGAAATGTTCTCCAATGAAAATTATCTAAATAAACTCTCCGGACATAGAATTTAAAAGAAAAATCTTAAACATGATCAAAGAACTCAAGGACTTAATGAGGACAGCAATGAACTTCCAAATCACATCCAAGAATGCAAAAATAAATTTTTAAATGAAATGATAGATAATTCAAACTCTAATAACTGAATTCAGTACAGAGAAGAAGATGAAAATACTGGAAAAAATCAAGTTAAAATGAAGCTGGATTGGAAAAACTTAATAACCCAATTAGAAAGTTTAGGGAAAGCCTTGCCAGTACAATGGATAAAGTAGAAGAGAGAATATTGAGATAAAGTGGAGGAATCATACTCCAAGCCTAACCAAGAATATGAAAGAAATACACAGGAGAATGGGACACAAAAAGACCAAATCTATGAATGGTAGCCAAAGATA